GTGAGGGAAATCCTCTGCTGGAAAGGTTTTTATTTTTGAGGGATCTTTAGTGGACATTTTGAGATCAGATTAATATTTTTGCACCAGTGGTATTTTAGTATAATTGATTTACTATTACAGTTTTTTGTCAGTATTCTGAGTTATATTTTATTTAGAATATTTTCAGTTTTGATTTTAATTTTAAAGTTTTAGGAATTTTGTTGTGTTTGTCCCTTTTGTTAGTTTTATATATATTTATTTGTTTACTATTTTATTTTATTTCAGTTAATGTTTATTTTATTTGAAGTAATAATTTTTTATGGTTTTAGTTTTAGTAAACAATAATAACCCTTTTTTGTATATAAGAAGTGAATTAACCTGATTGTGGTTGTCGTGTTTTTGTAGAGCAGGTTTTTAAAAAAAAATTGAATTATTTACTTGTTTTCTATTTAATTGTTTATTTGACCTTTTATTTAGTAACTTAATATAACAATTGTAACAACAGTCATGTTTTGCTTTAAGTTTACTTTGCCCCTGTTTGGGCACCATTTGTTTTCATTGCGATCATCTGACAGATGAGATCAGACTGAGATCTGAAGCAGGAAATGCAGGAAATCACTGCTGATCGGAGCGTCACTCACTTCCTGCACATAATCACTCATAATCACATCACACGCAGATCTGAGCTCGTGCAGTCACTGATAGCATCACTGCGCATATCATGTTGTTGAACTAATTGAGGTTAATCAGAGGACGTGGCTGCATGTGACGAACGGCCAAGTGGCTTTATTTCGTTTAGAACACCTCCGCAGTTAGCGGCTGGGACTCTGTGTGAATTATGTGTGACAGCTCATTAGCAGCACTTCATTACTGTTTGCGTGAACTGTGATTCATCAGTTTTAATACTTCGAACTGAAGCCTGTGAATCAGAGTGAACATTTTTAGTCGTGTTTACTAAGTCAAGATCACTATTACTACTGATACACTGCAAGACAGTGATTTTGTCTTCTTTTCTAATACAAATATCTAAACATTCCTAAATCAAGATCCATTTACTGCAGAAGGAAATGACTTAAGATATAAAGTATTTTTTTACTCTTTCTGTATTCTACTAAATACTCCATTATTCTATATTCAACTCTAATGCACCTCATTATACTATATTCTACTCTGTTCCACAGTTTTTCCCTTAAATGTACCACTCTACTCTATTCGACTCTATTATACTCTGTTCTTCAATATTCTACTCTGATATTGTAATACAAAACCAGTTACATACTCCAATCTGATCTTCTATTCCATTCTATTCTATTCTTTCCCTTTTGTACTCTATTGTTGTTTTTTATACTCCATTCAACTCTAATATACTCCATTCTTCTCTATTCTACTGTTGTACTCTATTCTTCTCTTTTTTTCTAATTCATTCTCCATCCTACTCTATTTAACGCTAATATACTCCATTCTTATCTATTCTACTGTTGTACTCTATTCTTCTCTTTTTTTCTAATTAATTCTCCATCCTACTCTATTTAACTCTAATATACTCCATTCTACTAAATCCTACCCTTTTATACTCCATTCTACTCTGTTCTACTCTTTTATGCTATTCTACTATAGTGTATTTTACTATTTTCTACTCCCTTTTACCCTTTTATATGCCATTGTACTCTATTCAACTGTAATGTACTCCATTCTACTCTATTTGAGTCCAATTTAATCCACTTTGTTCAACACTTTTATACTGCATTCTACTTTATTCTTCTCTGTTCTTCTATTCAACTCTAATATACTCAGTTTCACTAAATTCTGCTCTGTTCTACCCTTTTATATTCCATTCTACTATGTTCTACTCTTTTATGCTACTCTAATATACTCCATTTTACTACTCTCTGCTACCCTACTCTATTCTACGAAATTCAACTCTATTATAATCTTTTATACTCTATTCTACTCTATCTACTCTGTACTTTATTATATCACATTCTACTTCACTCAACTGTAATATGCTCCATTCTACTAAATGTTACTCTGTTCTACCCTTTTATACTCCATTCTACTTCATTCAACTCTAATATACTACATTCTACTCTATTCTACCCTTTATACTCCATTGTACTCTATTCTTCTGTTCTTCTATTTCATTCTCCATTCTACTCTATTCAACTCTAATATACTCCATTCTACTAAATCCTAACTTTTATACTCAATTCTTCTCTTTCATACTTCATTTTACTATAATATAATCCATAAAATTTACTATGTACTCCATTGTACTCTATTTGACTCTAATATAATCCATAAAATGTACTCTGTTCTACACTTTTATACTCCATTCTTGTCTTTTTTACTCTATTCAACTTTAATATACTCCATTCTACAAAATTCTAAACAAGACAAAAATACAGAGTAATCATGCTTTGCAGTGTAACTTCATTGTGAAGATCTTGCTTTGTTCTGAAAGATTGTGCTGATATAATTGTCATGATTACAAACACTCAGATTAATCATCTTTGCTTCAGACTATGAGGCATTATTAATATAAATGACTGTTATCCGTATAAAATATATTATGACTGATAATGCGTGGCGGTCTGTGTTCATATCCAGCTTTTCGTTTATTGTAATGGCGTGTTATGACGTCTTTATGGTTTATTAAATCATGCAGTAATCAACATCTCAGCAGGTTTTCAGGTCAGTAGTTTTATAGTTGATCTGGTCTAATTGTTTTCATGCGGCTGTGATGATCTGCTTCTGTTTTCGCTGGTGTTTTATGGCAGATGAGACTCAAATCACGTCTGGATATCAGTGAGGAGCTTGTTGAACAGCATCTGGAAATGACAGATATTTACCTGCCTCAGTGTGAGTGTGTCACATCCATTCCTGACCCGATAAATTCGGTGTCGGACCCTGCCAGTGCAGTCGATGCTCTTATCGGCCCATCGCTCCTGTGCCAGTCCAGACGGAGAACCAATGCGCTCGGCTCTCGTCTTATCGCGGCTCCGGCTGTCAGCGGTATCTCTCCCGTCGCGGTGGAGCTGATGAACGGCTCTGACCTCGTGTCCTGTAGATAAACCCACAGCTTGGCTTCGGCTCCAGAAGAGCTCCTGCAGCAGAATGGATTAGGTATCGATCTGAACAATCCTGAGATTGAGTTATTATTTTTTTCCGATGTCATTACATCAGGATGATGGAGGCGGCCGCACTTGGAGCAGATTGTGATTCTCAGCGACTCGCTTCTTTAAAAATTCAAGAAAAGAGCTAGTGTGAGTTCAGCTTTAATCACAGCGGAGAATAGATGTGTTAAAGGACTACACTCTAAAAATAAAGTTTCATAAGGGGCCTTATGCAGCAGCGATGCTTTAGAAGAACCATGTTTGGATCTCCAAAAGAGCCTTTTAATGATCATTATTTCTTCGTTTGAATGAGCTTTTTCCACTTTAAAGAACCAAGGAAGTATTCCATAGATGCTGAGGGTTCTTCATGGAACCATTAATGCTGATAAAGAGCCTTCACAGAACCTTCTGTCATCATTTATTCACTCTCATGTCGTTCCAAACCTGTTTGACTTTCTTTCTTCTATTGAACTCCAGCATAGATTTGAACCACATATTCAAACTTGCCACGTTTGAATTGGTCACATGATACGCAAGAACCAATGGCGTTTGTTTGGCATAATTGACTGTCATGTTTCTTTAAATGGAATATTAGGATATACATCATGTGATATGTTATTTGAATGTTTTGAAATGTCGTTTTGTGATGAACTGATCCTTGTTCAGTTCAATCGATTTGATGTGAATTTGAGAGATTTGATGAGAGCAGTGCATCAGACTTGCAATATAGGTTTTTATTGCTTAAATACTGTTGCACATAGATATTACTTGTATATGACTTGCTCAAAACATTTTAGCAGTACTGTAAATATGCATACCTTTTCAGAAACAGCTAGTCAAGACACGTTTATTTCTATAGTGCTTTATACAATAGAGATTGTTTCAAAACAGCTTTACAGTGATTAACAGGAAAATATCAGAATCAGTGACGCAGACTTCATCAAATATGAGACTAATTCAGATTCTGCTGTAAAGCAGCTCTACAGAAGACAACAGATTTAAAGAACCAAGGAAGTATTCCATAGATGCTGAGGGTTCTTCATGGAACCATTAATGCTGATAAAGAGCCTTCACAGAACCTTCTGTCATCATTTATTCACTCTCATGTCGTTCCAAACCTGTTTGACTTTCTTTCTTCTATTGAACTCCAGCATAGATTTGAACCACATATTCAAACTTGCCACGTTTGAATTGGTCACATGATACGCAAGAACCAATGGCGTTTGTTTGGCATAATTGACTGTCATGTTTCTTTAAATGGAATATTAGGATATACATCATGTGATATGTTATTTGAATGTTTTGAAATGTCGTTTTGTGATGAACTGATCCTTGTTCAGTTCAATCGATTTGATGTGAATTTGAGAGATTTGATGAGAGCAGTGCATCAGACTTGCAATATAGGTTTTTATTGCTTAAATACTGTTGCACATAGATATTACTTGTATATGACTTGCTCAAAACATTTTAGCAGTACTGTAAATATGCATACCTTTTCAGAAACAGCTAGTCAAGAAACGTTTATTTCTATAGTGCTTTATACAATAGAGATTGTTTCAAAACAGCTTTACAGTGAGTAACAGGAAAATATCAGAATCAGTGACGCAGACTTCATCAAATATGAGACTAATTCAGATTCTGCTGTCAAGCAGCTCTACAGAAGACAACAGAGTCATCATTCAGATCAATTCAGTTCATTTCAGTGACAGTTTGGAAACGTCCAATGATGACATCTTACTGATTGATTTATTTGTAAAAAAAAAACTTGATTTTCTGAGGTGCTGTGAGAAATATTACCGCTGATTGTTTGTCTGTAAATAATCATTTCATCTATTAATATGTGTGCTTTCTTCTGTCACTTTTGGAGCCTTTCTTCATCTGCAGTATGTCCATATTTCTGAAATGCAT